TTTTCCCATTTTAGTAAGTTTTTCCTTTAAAAGTACTCAATCACTCTTACTTTTTCTACTTTTTATCTTCTCTTTCATACTTTTCCACCTTGTCTTCTACTTTTCTACACTATTCACTAACATTTTACCCTTAAATGTTGTGCTCAAACCTTTTATAGAGAACTTTTAAACACAGAGGGAGGGAGTATTAAAAATACATTAATAAAGTAAATGGTTATTCACGTTTATTCACCATACCTGTTAAATGTTATTCACGTTTATTCACCATACCTGTTGGGGTGGTTACACTTGTAAATAGTAAAAGTAAATTGGAAAGATACACGAACTATAATGCAAAAGACGGTACTTGCAATCAGCAGCCCGTCTAGCTCAGTTGGTAGAGCGCAAGGCTCTTAACCTTGTGGTCGTGGGTTCGAGCCCCACGGTGGGCGTTTGATGAGTTTCATTTATTTTTGGGGTATTGCATATTTTTCAATAAGCTTAGACTTTGTTTGCAACCATTGTGCTTAAATAAAAGTACTTTTTGGGAAAAAGTGATTAGTAGTAAAAGTTGGTAGTGTTTGATAAAATAAGTGTTTTTGTGTAATAGAAAAAGTAAAAAGTAGATTCTACACGAAAACTGAAATAGTAAAAGTTGGTAGTGTTTGGTAAAATAAGTGATTTTTTCTTAAAAAAAGCCAAAAACACTTATAAATAGAATTTTCAAACAGAGCCTTAATAAACTCATACTTCATGAGTAAAAACTTGAGTATTTCTCCTTTTCCCAATTAGGGACTTTTTTTTCAACCATTCAATATTCTTCTCCACATAATTATTACTTAAAATTACATAATTAATTATGTATGTTCTGAAAAGCATAATTATATATGTTTATTTAATCTTTGATAGTTTAGAACTTAGAAGAGCAGATTTTTTTTAACCAAGCAGAAGACATTATTTTTGTTTATAATTGGAAACTGATAGTTTGAATGTCAAGTATATTATACAAAAATAACATTTACTTATTAATAATTTCTTAAAAACAAAACAAAGTAAAATCATTGTGTTGACCCCATTTTTTTTAGACTAAAGCTCAGATTTTGTTAATCAATTAAAATTATGGTTACTATATTATTACAAATCTACAAGTATAATTATTTAATATGGTAAATATACAAATAAAAGATTAATGGCACTGATTTTCTATTTCTTTTTATAATTTTTATTATCATTTGCAATTCAATCTATAAAGTAATTTTCAACAGATCAAGGATGTGTTAAATTGACTGAGATTTCTAGTCTAGTCTAAACTAATCTTATCTGATCTATTGTGGTTTGTTTAAGTCTAAACTGATCTGATGAATGTTTGGTCTAGTGTATTTTATAATTGTTGAAGTCTAATCTGATCTACTCTGTTTGAGTACAATCAAATCTGTTCTATCTAAATCTAATCTGAAATTGAAATTAGTCTAAATGAAAATATCCTAAAAGAACATTAAAAAGTGGGAGAAATAAAAAAATTGTTATCGATAAAATATACTACGTATGACAATAGGTTAGCAGAATTTGAGGGTGTTTGGTCAGCGTTTTTTGGCTAGTTTGACCGTGATTTGGCTTTTTGACCAGATTGATCAGCTAATAATGTGTTTGGTTAAATAGCCTTTTCATTTGGTTTTTTGTCCCAAACAACTAAAATTGAAAAGGCTAAGAAATATAGCTTTTGGGTTTGGCTTTTCCACAGTATTCCTAATCTGCCCATTTATTTTTCTTCCCCAAAATACTTCGTACTTTTCGTAGTCCTTTGCCAGTTGCCTTTCTTGCGGTCTTGCCTCCGTAGATTTCTTTCGTTCTAGGCTACTAGGCTATTTAGCAAAGGGGATAAGGGTCAGTTTGGTCCTCGAAGTTGCAAAAAAGGGATCAAATAAGTCCGTATATAGAAGATTCTGTCCGGACGTGCCATTTGAGGTGACTCCCGGTGGAATTTTTTGATGAAAATTTTTGAGCATCTTATTCATTAAGTCTAGTTTACTCATACCAAATTTCAGATAAAAATTCAATGGGGAAGACATTCAAATGAATTCTTGAAGATAATTGTGCCGTTAAAAGCGCTGTTATCTTCAAGAATTCATTTGAATGTCTTCCTGATTGAATTTTTAGCTGAAATTTGGTATGAGTAAACTAGACTTAATGAATAAGATGTTCAAAAACATTAATCACAAAATTCCACCGGGAGCCACCTCAAATGGCACGTCCGGATAGAATCTTTTATATAAGGACTTATTTGACACCTTTTTTGCAACTTCGAGGACCAAACTGACCCTTTACTCTTTAGCAAAGGTTAAACATGTTTCTTTTTTGTTAGATATTCTCTTGAAGGATTTCTTTTGGGAAAGTTCCCGAAATAGGACTAAAATAGTTTGAAAATTCCAAAATAGGACTGACATGTTTTTTATTTCCAAAATAGGAGTAATTACTGCCAAGTTTGGGAAATACTGCCATGTTTGAAGTCTGATACTTCCAAAACATGATAGTAATTAATCCTATTTTGGGAATAAAAAACATGGCAGTAATTAGTCCCATTTTGGAATTTCCAAACATTTTTGGTCCTATTTCGTTTAATATCTCATTTCTTTTTTGTTAGATGACAATTCTCAACGTAATTTAAGTTATAATTATTTATTAATAAATATATAAAAACGTGAAAATATTAAAAGAATTATTATTTGCAATTATCATTTTTATTCTTTTTAATATTTAGTAAATAATAGTGACCTAATTAGTCATAATTTTGTACGGAGTATAATATTAAAAAATACGGAGTATGATACAAAATAGTCTAATTCCAATTTCCAAGTTCACAGTCCTCGGACCTTCAACATATCCATATGATAATTATAACATCCTACTATCATACTATTATTTACTAATTCCAGGACAAATGCTTAACTGGTTTATAAAGTATCATATTTGTTGGGTATGTTATTTCCGTGAACAATGTTATTTCCCACACCAAATGTGAAACAATAGAAAACTATAAAATCATGATGGTTGGAAACTATCATATTTAAAATAAAATGCTATATATCATATTTTAGGACTTAAACAATAGTAATAACATCAATGGCTACCAGTTCAAAATTTAAAACTATAATTTAAATATTTATAATTGTTGTAATTTTGTATCAGATATTTTTTTAAATGATTTGGTATCAGATTTAAAAACTGCAATGTTCTATGCAACCAATAAAAAATATTATGTCCTTAAAAGTCATTTTATAAATTTCTAGCTGACTTTAAACAACCATTTAACCAACGGAAATTGTCCTAAATAGGACTAATGAGTTCCTAAAAAGCATAAATAGGACTACTACTTTTAAAATTCCCTAAATAGGACTAAACATTGATTTTCTACCCTAAATACCCCTAAGAGTATTAATTTATAAAGAAATGCTTTAATTCATAATAAAATCATAAAAAACGTAAAAAAATATTTAAAAAACGTAAAAAAAATTATAAAAAATTTATAAACCATTTATAAAATAAAAAATTTAATTTTTTATTTTTTTAATTTTTTTAAAAAAATAATAAAAAATAGTAAAAATCCATAAAAATGAAAAAAATTATGGATACCTTTCCCGCCGCCTCCCAGCACCACCACCTCCGATTGGTGAAATTTCTTCCACTTTTGGTAAAAAAAATGCCATATTTTTCTGAAAATTCCAAAAAGATGGCATAATTACTCTTCAATATGCCAACATTTTCATTAAATATGCCATCATTATGGCATTATTTAAAATGTTGGCATATTTTTCTCCGGTGATGGGAGCTGGTGGTGGCAGGGGTGGTAATGGTTTTTTTTTTTAATTTTATGATTTTTTTATTTTTTTTAAAAAATATTTTTTTTATTTTTTTTTAAAAATATTTTTATTAATTTTCTATTATTTTTTTACGATTTTTAGTATTTTTTTTCGATTTTTATTAATTTTTTTATGATTTTATTATTAATTAATACATTTCATAAGTTACAAGGGTATATTTGTCCAAACACACATAAATAGTCCTATTAAGGGAATTTAAAAAATGTAGTCCTATTTGTGCAATTTTGTCACTTTTTAGTCCTATTTAGGGAATTGACTCTTTAACCAAACACCATTTTGCAAACTGTTAATATTATCAGCAGATCAAAACAGCCAACTGTATCAGCTGTCATCCATCAGCCAACAAAATTCTTGAAGATAACTGCGCTTCTAACTGCGCAGTTATTTTCAAGAATTCATTTGAATGCCTTCCTGATTGAAGTTTTAGCTGAAATTTGGTATGAGTAAACTAGACTTAATGAATAAGATGCTCAAAAAATTTCATCAAAAAATTCCACCGGGAACCACTCCAAATGGCGACGGCCGGAAAGAGACTCCTAAATAAGGGTTTATTTGACCTTTTTTGGTTAGTACATGGACCTATTTGCACTTTTTCCCTTCTTTTTCCTAACTTCCTTTATACTCCGTGTATCATTGCTCGTAAAAGTTAAAAGCCAAAAATAAAAACTATTTCTATTAGCATTTTTACCCATGTACCAACCATTTTCCCCTTTCCACACACATAGTCCTGGACTCGGGCCGGGTGGCCCGACCCAGGACCGGTACTGTGCTGAACTGGACCAGTCAGGGGGTTCCCAGTGTGGGCTCGGGTCACCGAAAAGCTGAACCGGCCCAGCCGGTTCGGGCCCGTTTCCGGGTTTTTTAATTTTTTTTCAATTTTTTTTAACTTTTAGGGTTGGGCTGGGTATTTTGGGCCATTTGGGGTGGTTTGGAGGGTTGGGGGTGGGGGGGGGGAGTTAATTAGGAAAAGGAAAAAAAAATTGACCCGAGGCCCGGCCCGGACCCGGTGGCTACCTGGTCCGGTCCCGGGCCCACCTATTCAGAACCGGCAGCCCGCCCGGGCCTAGGCCCGGACCGGACCCGGCCAGTCCAAGTCCAGGACTACACACACATAGCCTAGAGGAACAAGGCACACAGCAGATAGTAAGATTTCTCTTCTTATACTCTTATAGTCCATCCATTCAGTTATTCAGAATACAGTATGTGCATATAGTGGATACTGACTACAAGAATATAGTTATAAATTACATACGAAGTATAAGAAATCAGAAGTGCTGCAAAGTAGTTGGAAATGTGTGCGAAATGGGCGAAATGGGGAGGCAAGTTTCACATCGATACAGCAGCATCAGGTTGCTTTTGTGGAGAGGAGGCATGGAATTCTGGTAATTCCTTGCATGCTTGGTATATTGAAATTAGAGTAGGGAACTTCGACTGCAAATACAATCCACTCGGACCGTTAAATATATTCTGTGCATGTAAAGCAATAAGCACAAAATAAAAAACAATGATAACATGTTAATGACAAAGAGGTTTACCATGTCAATATTAAACCTTTCAGATGCAATGGCGATCTGAGGAGCCAAAAACACATCAGCCTGCAAATCCTCATGCAATAGCAGCAGCGTAACAACAACCAGTTAAAAGATTTACATATTTGGTATGACGATCCAACATAGTAATTGTTATTCGTAATAAAACGAAAAGAATTAAGAGTGTATGGAGTAAGACGTACCAGATATAGTTGATCTCCCGTAGCATGTTTGCCTGCAAATCTGCTCAGCAACTTCTCAAGGGCTGTCCATTATGATGTCGGCCTTTTTATCAAAAGCAGTTATTGGTAGAGTAATGCTATAGGGCCTTATATGAGAGTATTGGGTAATTTCATACGTATGGTGTTATGTTAGACATTTTCATTTAAGCCAAACCATTTGACATCAACGCGTTCCTATATACAATAGGACGTATATAAAATAATCTCAAGTGTTTCAGTGTTTCATGCATAATAAATACTCCGTAATAGATTAATATTCTTAATGATTACAGCTCATTAATATGCAAAATTGCAAAAGCAAACAAGCAAATAATGAATTGTGTGAGTTAACATCCTATGATCAAACCTCAGAGTAATTAAAATTGGAAAATATATGGCAACAACATACTAGTGTTTGAAATCCTTTTTAAAAAAAATCCTACTGTGATGCTTAAGTGCTTGACACATTTTGTCGGTTGTGTTTTGTGAGGGCGCTGATGCCTATGTATTTTGAGGGTATGCCCCTCTGATTTTGTGTACTACAATTTTTGTGCCAATATATGTTTGTGGTTCATAAAAATCATATTATAAGCTTTCCACCAATAAACCTACCATAGAAACCTTTTCCGATGTTATGTTGAGCCCATGATTCTCGTTCATCAGGACCAAATCTTTCTTCAATGTAATTCTGAGTAATTGAGATTTGAGAACAGACAGTTCTTCATACCATGCAACTCCTTGATTTTAGATGGCAGATTCTCTTTTATAAAAAAAATGTGATATGTAGACATACTAGCAATGAGATCATATGAAGAGGCTGTATGCTGGAGCTGACAATACTTGCAACCTGCACAAAACAAAACAAAACAAGCAGACAGTCAAGTTAGAGAGGCCAAAGCAGAGGCCGGGCATATATGCAGAACTCAACCATAGATCCCCCACATTGATAAAATATATTAAAAAAAATACGAGTATAAAATATTGCATTAATTCCACATTTTAGGTTAGAACCCCAAAGATTAACAGAGTTTAATACACAATGTCACGATGAAGTCAAAGCTGACCTGAAGATTAATTGCTCGTAATTGAGGACTCAGAGGCAATAACTGACATTTTGGATACTTCTCCTCCAAATACTAAACAAAATAATAATAATAACAAATGAATTTCACACTTTATGGTAAAAAAAACTATGAATTGCAATCAAAGTTCATAGTAGAGAAAGTAAAATAGACAACATCCAGAACTCAAAAGATAGGACCACTAACCAATAATATTGCATAGGAATCTGAAATCACCGTATGACCACTATCAAGCAACACAGGGACATATCGCAGAGGATTTAGCTTCTCAAACTCTGCAATTTAGCTATTCATACGTTATCTTCTTAAGCGGCATAATGACAAATCATTAAAGATAGAGGGTACTTTTGGAAGCCGTAAAATACTAGTCCTAGGACTTAAAACAGAGATGAAAGAGATGCAAATATGTGAATGAAAAAAATGGATAGACTCGAACTGAATGATTTTGTTTTAGATATTTTATCAAACTCAGTTTACTTAACTAATTCTATAGTATTTTAAATACATAATATATGAAAGAAATAGGTTACTCCGTCCAATCCAAATTAGCAGTCTTGCTCAGATAATGAGGGAAAATGATGTTAGTTCTCATTAGTCATTACATACTATTTTAATTAATATTACTTCGTATTAGGGCTGAGCGCGGATCTGGGAATTCCTGTTCTGTACCAAAGAAACGTCCCGTACCGTTCCAGAACCGAAAGAACCGGAAAAATGTAATATTGTACCGTACCGTACCGAGTTTTTTTAATAATATGGTACGGTACCGGTTCTTAGTGAACCGAACCGTCTCGTACCGTCCCGAATTGTCCCGAAAACTAATGTTATTATACTCCCTCCGTCCCAATATAAAAGGCACATTTGCGTTTGGGGAGTTTTTAAGGGTGAACACTGTTTAGACACTGTTTGACACTGTTTGGCACTGTTTGACACTGTTTTGACACTGTTTTGCACTGTTTTGTTTGCCAAAAAGGGAAATGTGCCTTTTATATTGGGACGGACCGAAAAGGAAAGTGTGCCTTTTATATTGGGACGGAGGGAGTATAATAATATATTATATATAATATATTACCGAGTATAAATGTTAGTGACCATATGTCCCGAAAACTAGTGTTATAATATAATAATATATTATATATAACATATTACCGAGTATAAATGTTAGTGACCGTATGTCAATATATTACAAATATGCAATCTTGCATATTATTTGGGCGTAATCCAATTATTAAGACTTGACATCACTAAAAGTTAGCTTTAAAACAAAAACAATACTAAATGATATAAACAATGCTACGTAAATAGGGTTAATTATATTTCATGGGGGTTAATTATTTAGGAACCAAATAACACCGGAGAACCGAACCGTACCGAACCGTAATGAAAATTGGTACGGAACAGGACAAGTTCCATATATATGCGAGACGGTACCGGTTCTTGATTTTTAAAAGAACCGTACTTTGGGACGGGACATGTATTTTGAAATAACCGTCCCGTACCGTCCCATGCTCACCCCTACTCCGTATTAAATAAAGTTACTAGAAACTGCACTAAAATCTCTATTAAATCGCAAAATCAATTTTGGATACAGCAAAACTTTTGCATCTAAAATTAGAAATTAAATAAAAGAGAGTTAATTTGATGGCTGGGTAGTGACTGAAGTCTGAAACAAGTAATTATTGGACCTGAGTACAAAAAAAAAATAGTCATCACATTTCATTTTCCTTTTTGCATTTTCAAAGTTGAACCTAAGAAAATAACTGTCAGCTCTTTCCCAATCCATGGCATATTATTTCTAGTTTAATTTAACAATTCATTGGATTAGCTCTACACAAACAATTCTTCTGTGTGATTCTTGTTTCATTGTTTATGAAATTCTTTAAGCTAGTGCTTGGATGCAAGGAATTGATTTTATGGAATTCAATTCTTGAATTGAATATATATTGGAAATCAAATTCCACATAGCTCTCAAGGCATTGAATTTCTTGACTCAGATCCAGGATTTCAAATAAAAAGTTGGCATCCAAACAAAACCTAATTTTTATTCACGAAAGCACTGTCGTTTTACACTTACTGGGATCAAATTGTTCTCTTTTGCTGAGATTGACTGCTCTGTATTCATAAGAGAGCCCTGCTTGCGCCTCAATCAACAACAAAATCGTCAATGTCAACTTAACTAAAATGATATACAAAATCGTCGACCAGAACTGTTGTCAACAGCATACCCTTGAGATCTAAGGCGAAACGGACACGCCAAGAACACGAGCTCTGCCAGTATGAATACAATACAAGCTTTGAAGGTGAATCGCCTGGTTGAGAAGAAGCGTCTTCTTCTCCTCCGCTGAATGGGCCACTCGAGAACATTCTAGAATTCCTCCGAAATAGAGAGGAGATTCCACTGTAAGAGCTACATCGCATTGACGTGAAATTGTCAAGCCGGTGAAAGAACAACAGTGGTGAAAACTTTGACGGAGAAGCCATTATTGCTATGTTTGTGGTAACGAGCTAAGCTGGAGGGTAATATCTGAATATTTGAGGCTGTTGCCTGATTCAGATACGGATGTCTGAAATGTAAATGAAGTCCTGAATCTGAACCGGTAACCGAATGAAGTAGACCCGTTTGGTAAAAATAACTGAAATAATAGCTGGATAAGATAAAATTAGGGGTACACAATTAATTAATACGAAGTAGAACAAAATATTTATTTTAATCTATCGTTTTAATATTTTACTAATGCAGAGTATCACATGTTTATACTCCTTCTGTCCCAATTTGTTTTGCAAAGTCAACATTTTTTGTCAACCAATAATAAAAGTCAACTCTTCTTATGCATAACTAATTCAATTTTCAATAAAAAAATTTACATATGCATAAACTATATCAAAATCTTTTCAAAGTTGTAAACTTCAAATTAGAATATAATTAAAAATTGGCATCATAATTAAGTGAACAAAACGTAACTGTTTGATCAAGAAAAGTCAAATTTACAAATTAATTCGGGACGGAGGTAGTATTTATTTAAGTAAATTGTAACTGTGTATGTATGTATTATATATACATACGTAGTATTATATTCTATATATAATTCTACACAAATGTTCATGTCCGGAATTCCAGATAGGAACCGTCGTCCGGATGGCGGCGTTTGGCCGCCTTCCCGGTGACATTTTTGATGAAATTTTTATGGCATGTTCCCCATCAAGTCTAGTTTATCCACAAAAAAATTCAGCCAAAGACTCAATCGGGAAGGTTGTCATCCTTTGTGTCGATTAGATTATCACTCATCATATGCTTCCGGATCCAATAACGAAAGGTCTATCACCCAAAGTCTTCCAAGAGCTCGTAACAAAGACGGGTTTTATTAGAGATCTCATATGAAAGCATATTAGTGTAAACTTCCTCAAATGTCTTAAGTATTTTGTTTATACTAATGTATGCATGCACTTATTTCTCTATAGACATATAAATACAATTTAATATTGTATTTCTCCATCATTTTGGCATTAAACTTTCTAAGTGTTTTATGTTAAAGTTTTAGTATAATTGGTGAGGGTCTTTTGTTGATAACAACAAAATGACTGTATCTTTTTTTTATGACTTTAATATGAAACTTGATGGGTATTAACTTTGGCCAAACTTATGAATACTCATCATAAATGGTCACTCGGCCAAGTGGGAGAATGTTGGAATATTTCCATTTTATATGTGTCCCCGTCTTACATAAACATTACTTGATGGGAGTAATTGTAATTATTATAAGGGGATAATTGATTTCCCGTTAGATGTCTATTAATTAAATAAATTAATAAGAAGACATGACCGTTCATCTGTGTCTCTTCTTTCATAAATAAACAAAAGGACACATTGTTTAGTCATGTCCCTTCTCTTATGTCCCCATAAGTCTATAAATAACACCAATTCGATTCTATGGGGTACACTAATCAATCCATCACTAAATTAGACATCATAACGGGAATCATGGTTTCATCATGAACAAGATGTGATTTCCTTGAAGTAAGTAAATCATTTCTCATACTTGTTAATTTTGTTGTGTTTGATTTGATTTGAGAAGATTAGTGGAAACGTTAATTCATTAAAATTATTCAACAGACCAATGAAATCTCAGGAATTAGAGTGCACGATGAATACATAGAGATAATTAGAAGACGGATAAAAGAAAGATGGGAGTCGAGAGGACACTTTGGGAACGAAAGAGAAATGTATAACTGGCTGAACTGAAACGTTAGGGTAGATAGCGTTGCTCGTCAGCTCCATTATTTTAGATTCAGTTCATTTAAGGTCTTTTGCCAAACAAGACTAAACTCGAAATATTTGGCTGAATTTAAGAAATTTCATCCCATAAACTAAATTATTCTGCACATATATAATGTGCAGTGTGTTTCAAGAATTTATTTGACTATCTTCTCGGTTAAATTTTGAGTTGAAATTTGGTATGGATAAACTAGACTTGATGATGAACATGCTCAAAAAAAATTCATCAAAAAAATTCACCGGAAACAGCCCCAAACTGAGGTGTTCGGACGGCGTTCAGACGAGGAGTGCTGGACCTGGGCACTTCTCATGAAAAAGGGATACGGGTCAGATAGGGCCTCGAACTTCGAAAAAAATGTCAAATAAGGCCATGTTTAGGTTGCTATGTCCGGCTAATGCCATTTGGGGCGGTTCCCGGTGGAATTTTTTGATGAATTTTTTTGAGAATCTTATTCATTAAGTCTAGTTTACTCATATCAAATTTGAACAACCAATTCAATCGGGAAGGCATTCAAATGAATTCTTGAAGATCATTGCGCTTTTAATTGCACAGTTATCTTCAAGAATTCATTTGAATGCCTTCCCGATTGAAGTTTTAGTTCAAATTTGATATGAGTAAACTAGACTTAATGAATAAGATTCTCAAAAAATTTCATCAAAAAATTCCATCGGGAATTGCCCCAAATAGCGTCGGCCGGACAGAACATCCTAAATATGGCCTTATTTGACATTTTTTTTCAAGTTCGAGACCCTATCTGACTCTTACCCCATGAAAAATAATAAATAGTTATGTAATCTATCTATATATAATAACAAAAGGTTTCTTGAGGAACAAGTTCCCGCCAAAACCCATGGATCAATACTCGGTGTAATTTTAATTTCTTGGCAAGTTGGCAACGAGTGCTCTTGATAAAACCGTCCTAATTTCCCACATTTAATATTCTGCACCTAGCATGTTTAAGCTTTTGATTTCTCGATGCAACATCTAGGCCAGGCTAAACCATTTCTCTCTCACGCATTCAATATTTTCTAACCCACCAATTACAGTTGTGTATTTGTCAACTCATTTCATTTGCAACTCTTCGAATTCCAGTGTTTTTTTTTTTCGTTTTTTCATTCAATTGCATGTCCATTATAAATTTATAATACTGTTTCTACACATCATTCTATATTTTGTATAATTTGTAACGTTGTTAACCGTAAGTTAATTATAAAGTCTGTACTTTTAATGGTTCATTGTTCACTGTTAACTTTATTTAATGAATTCAATAAATTTTAAGTTTTTTATTTAATGTTCGAATGTTGAATTCAATTTATTGCTGCAATTAGCTTAAAATGAATAATGATTAAGTGTTGCTACTTTCAAAAGGCAATTTAAAATGATTACATTCTGTTGTTGTTAATTAAAAAAATTGCTTTTTTAATTACTAATTGAAACTGGCCACTCTAAATTTATAAATACCGATTATATAGTTGTTGTCATCCAAGAATGGTAGATTGAAATCATAAATTCTTATTTGATTTTTATTATCAGACAACATCATTATTTTTAAATCCAAAATGGCAAGGGTTCTCACTGATAGCAAGGTTTGTAAAGCCAAATCGAATGGTAAAGTCGAATCGTATACGTAATTATAAAATAAACAAAAAAAAAATTAAAACAAAGTCCCAAGTTAATAATACTATTACATTTCATTACTTAAAAATTTACACATGAGATCATAAGCAAGATTTATAAGCCATATTTATAATGTAAAATTTATTACTACCTCCGTTCTTTTTTATTAGTCCTTCTTTCCTTTTTGGCACGTTTTTTTTATCTGTCCTCCTTTCCATTTAAGGAAAGTTTTTACTCTAAATATACCTTTATACCCCCAACTTTTATTACCATTACCCTTTCTCTTTCCTACTTTTTCATTTACCCACTACTTATTACACCTTTTACACTACCCCTACTACTTTCCTCTTAAAACCCGTGCCAAAGCCTAAGAGGACTAATATTAAAGAACGGGAGTATCTATTTCTATTATTATTATTTTATAATTATTATAATAATATAATAGCAAAACAAATCCTCATAAAGAGTCTTAACAATATTTCATATATAGTACTCCGTATGTACCTCTGTCGCATTTAATGAAGTAGCTGAAAAAAGTAAAAGTTGTGGTTGAGATTTGATTATAATAAAGTGAAATAGTGTGAATCACCCCACATATTTCTTTCCAGGAAAGAAAAGATGACACTTAATTTGTGACAACCCAAAAAGGAAAGTAAGACAAGTAAAATGAATAAGCTCAACTTCTAAAACGTCTTAGCAACAAATTCACATGGGGAATGTCAAAAAGTAAAAAGAGGCTAATCCATTTCATTAAGAATGCAACTAATCAAATCAGGGCCGGCCCTGACATATAAAAGGCCCTGTGCAAAATTGAATATGAGACCCTAAAATATAAAACACTATATTAATATTTCCACCGTTTTTAAATAATAGTTTCCTTAGGTTTTTGTGGGTTTTAAGGAGAAAATAGTAGGTGTAGTTTAGATGTGTAAGGTAAATGAAAAAGTAGAAAAGATAATATATTAAAAAAAGTAAAGTAATGACAAATTATTAAAAAGAAAGTAGTTACATGCTCGTTCCAAACTGTACAAGGGGTTTGCGCTAATTACTGTAACTAGTTAAGCCTTGTGAAATAAAAAAATTATACAATTGTAATTAACAATTGCATTTTAATTACATATAAATATTACTATTTAGTGTTTGTATTTTAAAAAGTACTAAGATAGAAATTTTTAATCAAATAAATATAGATGTATTATATTATATAGACTATATTTAAAATTTTGGGCCTTCTGAAATCAAGAGGCCTTGTGCGGTAGCACTTCTTGCACGCCCTCATCTACGGCTCTGAATTAAATGTACGTACCGCTCGAGGTAGTAAAAAACTAAACTTCTCCTCGCTCAATGCAGATAGAATACATTGATACTTACGATAGTATTTTTTAGTATAAATACATGATCTGCATCAGGTGAATGTCCGGCCCGTCTCAAATTATGAAATGGTAGACATGTAGAGTTTGATAAATGATATCAATCACGTTAAGTCCTCATGGCCAAATAATCCGGCCGGCACCCATAGGGTGGTTTTGTTTAGGATGAAGGGGTCACTCAATTTTTTATTTATGGCTGGAAAACAAATCGGGGTAAATTTTGATGCTTTCTTCGTAATGTAACTAACAAAACTTATGTATTCGTTCTTTTGGGGAA